TATATTTCCCCAGTGCCGCGACAGGAACTGGCATTTCGAATTATGTCATTGACATTTCGAACAACCTTTGCAGCGGCATCGGGCGCGGCCAAATGCAAATACGACCCGGGATCGAGTGAAAAAACTGAGTTGAACACGTAGCGCAAACATTGGGTCGACTGGAGTGGATTTTTCCAGGGGAGGGAGTGATAAAAGAGGTAAAAATAACAGATATGATGAAACATAATCATCGAGGCAGAGTGTTGAGTATGTTTTAGGCATCGCCGTGGCCTCTTGGCGAGTTGAAATCGCGATCCATCGGTATGATGACCCCCGACGGTACGCCAATAGAATATCAATGAAGATCGATGTCTGCGCTCGTTGCGACAGCCCGAAGTTGGCATTCTTCCACTGGTTTTCCATTTTTTTTTTTCACCCATACTGTTTGACCCGTACCGTTTGACCCTTTACAATGCCATTCATTCCATGCCGAAACTAACGATTAGCGTGAAATAATTCTCTGGATTATTCTCACTATTTCCTTCAAGTAATCAATCATCAAAGATTTGATTGGATTTTACTAATGAATTAACAGATGGATGTCGGTGTGAACTACATTTTCTATTTTATTTTTTCGCTCTTTTCTCTGTAACTAATTTTGCTATTGAATTTTAATTCTTCTTAATTCTTCCCATTTAGTATTTTGAAAATTCATTTAAGTCAACGTTTAAAATTGGATTCATAACTGTAATTATAAGTGAGAGCTACACCAATAAAATTGTTTTATATTATTTTGTAAACATATTCTGAATGTTGTTTTCTAACTATTTTTTAGATTCCGAGATTTTTATTGGAAACCGGACAATAGTTAAAATCGAGTTGATCAGGTTTTCCGTTTTATTACTAAATTAACATTTTCAACGGTATTATTAAAAAATGATAATTTATTTAATCATTTTGAACTTTAGATTGAAGTTTCCCCCAGAAATCAGTTCCAATTCAATAAATTCAGATGAACAAAATAATCAATCAATGATCAATAAATACAATAGGCCGCAAAAATTAACTGAAAGCCCGGCGAAAATTGACTGAAATCACACCGAAAGATCTGGATGAATGAGTCCCTTTTGTTTGGGTTGTGTAGTATCGAAATCTTGGGGATAATCAGTAGAGTGAAGTCATCAGACGGTTCTGAAACGGTATTATTTCCTTGTTCAATAGCTCGAGTTGGCCACACACGATCCGTACTACATGCACAATCACATAACCAAACAGTGGCGTCGAAAGAATGCCAACGTTTGCAATTAGCCACACGTCCGGAAAACAACGGTGGCACCGTCATCACCCGCAAGGCCCCGGATGCCATTACACCCGAGAGGATGATTCGTTCCAGAATCGTGACGGATCCCGGGGAGCACCCGCTGCAGTGACGAAGAGAAATTGTTTTTCTCATGCACTCTAATCACACACTCAAAAAATTTTATACTTATAAATAAAAACAACAATAAATAGACATGAGTCTAATTTTTGTTCCAAATTCGAAATTCATTTCATTTGAATTTTTTATGTATTTTCGATGTGACGAGAAACATGTACGAAATAAATACATATATAATTGCTATATATTTCGCACATAAATCGCTTTCTCTACGGGTTTGACCAGAATTGTCAATTTTACTGATTACGATTTAGTGTGGAAAATCTCGAATTTCGAGATTTCACTGAATATTCACATTAGATAAGACATTTCTATAAATTAAGAATTCTGGAATTCGACCATATTTCTGGTGGTATCTAATTTTCCCTCCAATTGACAACGAAAAAATACCGATTTCTATATGATTTATACAGATTTTTTCGGCGAGGAGAGTAAACAGAATTGAATTTTTTTTTCAGGTGAACAATTCGGTCGTTTTGAACATTCTTGTAGTACACCTGAGCTCCCCGGAATCCCGAACCCCATTTTCCCTGAACTAGTGCCAGCAATAATCCTGAACTCACCAGTATAACACCAGGCCGGCCAGATGACGGGACTCTCGGTGTCCAGCTCCCTCATTCTCTCAGCGGCGCGCGGACATCTCCACTTCGCGGGTTGTCCACAAGTAGCAGTCAATATGTCCAGTTTGACAGTGACACTCCAACAATCGCCTGAACCCGGGTCTGCCGAATCCCCCCCACCCCCTCCCCCAAAACAAAAACCCAGGCCCTCACTCACTCCTGCTAATGCTCGCTAATATTTTTACCTCTCCCCAGCACAAAAGGTCGAAGATCCCCGCGGAGGTCGGATTCCTCTTATCGGGGACGCACGTGTGCAGCAGGCACAAACTTCTCTCCTACTGCCTCGTGATCCTCACATGTATCCACTGAATAAAAAAAAAAAACCTCAACACTCACGTTTAGAGTTTCCAAGAGACAGATAACTACAGTGCGATAACCGTTGTCCCGCGGTTTTGCACCGAGACAAAGTGTATTGCGTTGTTCTTTGAGTCGCTAGGTGTGCGAACTGATAAGGCACGAGTGTCGCGTCACCAGCGATAGATGGACATTGAATTTATTGAGAAACTGAACACAACTCACTCAAGTGTCAACAAAAAATTCACAAATTCGTACTCGTGGAAAATAGCGTATTTCGTTGTGCCGCGGTAGGTGAAATTTCACTTGTGATTGTGCGTCGTTACCGAATGCGTTAATGATTTAACCGAACGAATGTCGTGCGAAAATGCGGGAAAATAGAATACCGAACACGGGACCAACGGAGTGGCACTTGGTGCACCTGCCGCGAGAGTCCGCGTTCTAATGGGAGCGGGGCAACGGCGGCAGGTAGGCAGGACCACGGCTCGTCAACCTGCGGAGAAGGGGTATCAGTCACATGGCGAGGAAGGCCGAGTGCTCACGACTGGGCGGGAGGGGAGAGGACAGTGGTGGGGATAGGGCCCAAGAGGATGGGAGTTAGAGTGGGGGTCGGGCTCAGCAGCCCAGGGCATCGAGAAGGTATCGAACCTGTCGTGGCGCTCCTGGACCGCTCGGGTTTTAGGGTCATCTCCAGTTTCCACACTTGTAACCACGCAAATATTCTCGTTAAATTACCGAACTATTCATTTTTATTGATTTTCCGGCAGTTTTTATGGGATTCGTCGAGAAGACACCTGATACCACGCATCGAGTAATTTTCGGGTTTGGAAAAGGGATTGTCAAATATCTTAAATTTACTTCTTTATTTATATTTAAAAATTTATTATTTTCATTGGTTTTTTATATGTTATGTAGTTTTTTGTGAGAATAATATTTGTAATTAATTATCATTATTTGGAGTCATTTTTTCGCGGCAATACGTACAATTTTTGAAATTCAATTTTAAAGTTTTTTTTCAGGTACTCAATACCGAGAGAATAATTGATTAAAAAAATGAAGTATTTACTTGATCATTACCAAGATTATCTGAAATTTGACGAGAAATTCCAAAATTCAACCCTCGAAATTCGTATTTAATACAACGATCGTCTTATTACCAACGAATTACTGCAATCAATAAAAAAAAAATCAATTAAACCCCCGGACTGATGCTGGCCGTCACGAATGAATAAAATCGCATGAAATTGCCGAGGCCTCATATAACGAAAAAAAAAGAAACAAATGGTAAAAAAATTTCCAGCAAATTATGACGCTTCTTCTTCTCTCGGGGCGACGCAACAACTACCGTTCACAGAGAGAAACAGAGCGCGTAATTTACGACGCTCTTGTGTACAGCATCCCTCCACCGTATACTTTTAACCCCCATGGCAGTGAGCAAGAGAGAAACTAGCAAGAAAGTATAACCCATATGAATGCAACGTGTATTACATCTTCATATTTTTCCCCGAGCCCGGTAATTAAAGGTGCCCCGCGTCGTTCCTCTCAGGTTTTATGATTTATTCCTCGGGTAGAGAGCACACCGTGATAAGATGGGCCTGCCAGATAACACAGCAAATATAACCCCCTCTCCTTTTGTTCCTCGACTTCTGGCCCAGGGGCCCAGAGGCCCCTTCAATCGCTGGATAACATTCATCAATATATCGCCATTGCTGTTCTTCCAGGCTAAATCATTTCCCATCGGCAATTATTTTATTCACTTCGTGTGCACTTTTTTCACTTCCAAATCGTATTTTACCAAAATTCATCGCCACACCCAGAAATACAGCATTTGAAACAACTAGACAGTTTTATTCAACATTTTTTCTTATTCCTGATAAAGAAATTTCCCAATAATCGCGGCAATTCCTTCGTCATTTCACGTCGCATTTTACAACAATTTCGTAAACAAATTTTTTTGCAATTAGAAAAGTCCTGCCTTTTATCATTTTTCCAGTTGTTTTTGTTTAATAATTCGTTCCTCTACACTAGATAATGTCATGGCCATTACAACGTAAAAATATAAAAACATAAAATAAAAATGGAAAAAAAATAGCTTCCAAGAAATTTTTTTATTACATTGCATTTTGATGTTTGCGGCATTGACTAATAGAGGAAATTTTAGAAAATGTTTGTTTGATATTAAAAGAGGATTTACTTGGAGCGAATTAATATTCATGAAGGGTAAGGAGAGTTTACATAGATCATGACAAATCAATTTTTTTAATAAAAATGGGAAATATGTTGAGGAGCAACAATTTAATAAAAACCGAGTGATTTTCTCCCAACATCTGTGATTGAAATCCGTGAAAATATTGTACCGGTCACCTCGATATCCGGAGATCAAGGGCTCTTCATGGGACCGACGTCAATTCTCGAAGGGATTAGGAGTACCTTCGTACATCTTTTCCTACATCAGATCCGCCCGATGGTAATCCTGTCTTGTCTCCAGCGAGAATAATCCCCGGACGTGTGAGGGTGACTCATGCCAAGTTATTTTTTTATCATTTTGGAATATGCAACCCTTATATACTGCTATTTACAGTGGAAATTTTACACTGTCGTTATACCCTTTGGATAAATCTTTTGCTACCTTTTCAGAAATTAGTTTATATTTATGTACATTTTATTGTCTTCCTCTTCTACGATGTAGCTCACACTTTCACTCGACATCTCTTCAAATCTTTGCAAATC